CCGTTTCTGATTGGACCTTCGCGCGGCTCAAGGCTGCTTTATCGGTTCGGCTGCCTCGAGACTTGACCGCCTCTTCGATTACTTCGCCCTGGCTTGTTTATAAGTCCCCCTGGCCTCTACTCTGCTCCACCACCAAATATCCCCCTTTTCTCCATTCTTGCCATGTCTGAAGGAATTCCTGTTTCTCTAGATCTTTCCGACGGGCCGGCTCCTTCTTCGCCGGAGCCTGCCTCTTCCCCCAAGTCAGTCAATTCTAATTACTGGGGGGGCTTGACCCTTACGAATTCTGTCGCCGGTTGCCTCGCCGGCAGTGGCCGTCGGTGAAACCGCCGCCACCACCTCCAAACCCTTATGAAGACTTTAGTGAGGCGTACGAGGCCCTCTCCGCCAACTACCTGCCTGACGGGCGGATTGACTGGGATACTCCATGCCCCCTCCATTCCCTGCAATGTATGGCCTGGGAGAGCTTTCAAGATGAGCAATTACCCCTCCTGGAGCATGAGTGCGCATACTACGCAAGTCTTGAGCGATGGACTAGCGGAAGTCGCACCAGTTCGCCGGTGAGGCCTACGGAGGAGTTGTGTTAGGGAAAGAACTGGGTTCTTCCCTACCTCGCCCCGCTTGCCACTCACTTCCCTAGAAGACCCCTAGGCGACCTGAAGTAGCTCGGGCGGCTTCAGGATCTCCGTCCTCGCCTAGGTGATGCTGGTTGGGGTTCACAGAGGAGTGAGCCGTCCCCCACCCTTCTTTGGTAGGAGAAGGGCGGTGGGTTTTTGCCGAGGCTGGGGGCGACCACTCCCGTTCCATGTTGGGGAAGAAAGGTGGTCGTCCTGGACGGCTGGTGATCGGAGTTTCGCTTGCCTATACAGCCGCAGAACTACCTTTCAGACCTGCCTGTCCCCCCTAGGCCTTCGCTCGCAAAGTATTAGATTGTCGTTTTTCATTGTAGGAGATGTATGGGGAAGTATCCTTCCTAACGTAGAGATTGTTCTCAACTGTACTGTAGTAGATGCAAGAGATTATCCTTGAAACATAATGAACATTTCTGTGACTGTATTTTGATGTTACCTGTTTACTTACAAGTTTCACCTTCTTCTCTTTTGCATCCTACATTTGACGTTCCGGTTCCCTCGGACTTGAATCCGAGAATACCTCGCCTCTTTTGACTTAGCCACTTTCGGGTTACTTTGACCCTTGTGGCGTCGTCATACCCTCAAGATCCCTGGTCGCTCATGCGATCAACAGATCTTGTGTTCCAGACTTAGCCGTTCTCTCAGACTTTCTTGCCACGGCGTCGCCTTCAACCTTGGTCGCCTGACAGGGTTCGACGCTTCACCCACTACTGGGTATCTTAGCACGAATCACCGTGCAATTTTAGCGATCGATCCTTTGTGGTCGCTCTTTTTTTTTTTTAAGAATTGGAGACAAGATGTGCCAGAGAGCTGGATTTATTAAATCTCAAAAATAAGACAGGGCTGGAATACAATCTATTGATAAAATTTAATAAGGTTGGCGGCATTCCATACTCGCGGAACGTCGCCACCGGTTGGAGTCTGCAATCTAAATGTCCCATCGGCCAATACCTCCTTTATGATATATGGCCCCTCGAAGCTTTTAGCAAACTTCCCTCCATCGGTNTCGATCAGCTATCTTTGATAAGAAACGACTGAGAGCAGCAATCCTGCCGGTGAGCTGCTGGACCTCCTTTACATTTCGCGGAGGCTCCATCTCCAAAATCGCCTTTACCTTTTCCGGGTTAGGCTCGATCCCTCTCCGGCTGACCATATGTCCTAGGAATTTACCCCCCTGCACCCCAAATGTGCATTTCTTGGGGTTAAGGCGAAGCTGGAACTTCTTCATGATCTAGAATACTCTCTCCAGGTCGCCGGCATGAGACTCCGTCCGCTTGGACTTGACAATCATGTCGTCCACATATGCTTCCATGCACCCCCCTAGTACTGGCGCGAACAGCTTGTTCACCATCCGTGCATAGGTCGCCCCAGCATTCTTCAAACTAAAAGGCATCACCTTGTAACAGTATACCCCATTGGGGGTGATGAAAGCGGTCTTTTCTTCATCCGCTCCTGCCATCTTGATCTGATGGTATCCACTGAATGCGTCCATGAAACTCATCAGCTCACATCCTGCCGTCTCATCAACCAACTGATCAATGTTGGGGAGAGGAAAAGGATCTATCGGACAAGCTTTATTTAGATCAGTGTAATCGACGCACATCCGCCAGGTATTCCCTTTGGGTGCGAGGACTACATTTGCCAACCATTCCGGGTAGCGGACTTCCCGGATGTGCCCAATGGACTGCAGGGTGGTCACCTGCTTGGTGACAAACTCTCTCCGTTCCGCGGAAAGGAAACGCTTCTTCTGTTTGACCGGCTTGTGGGTCGGATCCACTGCCAATCTATGGCAGATGATTTTTGGGTCGATCCCTGACATATCCTCTGGTCCCCAAGCGAATAGCATCTTGAATGCTCGGAGGACCTCCAATAACTGCTCCTTTAATTCAAGCGGTAAGGTTTTGCCTACCTTCACCTTCCGCTCGGGCTCAACCGGATCCAAAGAAATTTCCTCGACCTCTTCCGCCGGCTCAGCTCGGGGTCGCCCCTCCTCCTTTTGGATCGCCGCACAGATCGTGCTCACATTCTCGTCGACTCGGGCTTGGCTTTTGGTCGCCCTAACATAGCACGACCGTGACAGGCTCTGGTTCCCCTTTGCTACTCCCACTCCTGTGGGAGTGTTGAACTTCAGGCATAAGTGGACGGGGGAGATTACGCACTCCAGGTCCTCCAACCCTGGTCGTCCCAGAATTAGATGGTGTGCACAGTCGAGCTGTACTACCATAAATTCCATGTCGACCCAGAGTCGGTGGGTGCCATCTCCTACCCCGGCCTTTACCGTGATAGTTCCTTTCGCTTCGATAGTATCCCCTGTAAATCCTGACAGCGGCGTATGGATTGGCTTCAGGTCGCTTCGGGACAATCCCAACTCCTTAAAGGTGTTGCTGTACATTACGTTGACCGAGCTGCCCGTATCGACCAAGGTTCGGTGAACAACCACATTATTGATCTCCACTCTTATCACCAGAGCGTCCCTGTGAGGACTGAGGACTGGGGGATAATCCTCGTCTGTAAAGATCAGGGGTTCCTTCTTCTTTCGCTTAGGCAGCGGTGGCCTTTGTACCTCGGCCAGGTACACCATGTTCTTCCACTTCTTCCGGGAGGATACCGAATCTCCTCCAGTGTTTCCTCCCATGATGAACCGACACCCCAAGTGTCGGCGACCTTGCCTCTCCTCCTCATCTAGGTCATCACAATCTCGCCCTAGGTGCCGCCGTCCATCCTCTTGCCCCGCTCCTGCTGTGATCGCTGCCGTGGGGGCT